CAATGGCCTCCTGTTAAATTATGAAATAAAAAGGGTTTAATCTACAGGAAATAAGACCAATATTACTTTGGTTTTTATTCTAGTAATTTTAGTTGTTTGTTAAAGACATACTACAGTCTTGAATAATACAGTTTTCTACTGGATATTTTTGATATATTATGGCAACAAATAACGATTTACTTTAATAGGGAGTCTGGATAGTATTTTCAATTCCAGTTTTTCAGTGGTTTACTTAATGTATGTGACAACAATGTTTGCATGTTGCAGAGTTTTTTATGAAGTTATTACTCATTTTATGGTTAAATATTCTCCCTGTTTTCATTGCAGACTTAGTCCCAGTTAGTGGTAGTATAGGGAAGTTTGCGTTAAAAGTCCATAGGGCACAGGAAGTTGGCTATTTCTACAGAACGTTAACTCAAGGAATAATCAGAGAAGTTTAGTCTTGTTCAGTAAGCTACTGAATATTTTTCATCATTTATAATGTCTTCTCAGTATCAATAACTTAGAAGGCTAGAAGAATCATATATTTATAACTACATTTACTTTGAAACCCTTATAGTGTTTGTTTTGATTAACACTGAAGCTTCTGATTTATTATTTATGTTGCTTGTCTTCCCCTCACTCCTTTTACCTGATTTTTTTGTGCGTGTGTTCTGGAACAGTAAGAATTTTTGTAATTGGAAATAGTAGAATAATTTGCCTAGTAAAAAGGTCCCTGCTAAAATCACTGTCCCTGTTTGCTAATCCATCTACAGGCCAGAATTTTGATAATGTTCCTATGATTTATATTATTTCTTTCCAAAACTTGGGCACTTAAGTCTAAATTTAAACCTCAGCCAGACAGGAGAGAATTGTTCTCATCCTACCCTTTGCATAACACTTTGTGCTAGGCTACAGGTTTTTATAATATCTGTGTCTTTCATGAAGACTCAATGTTTTAAGTGACCTCATTGCTGCAACCAAAGTATGAATGGTTTCACATGTAGCAGGGAAATAGAAACACATTACTTAGAGAATCCAAATTCCCTGAGATTGTGAGATGTGCTTTAGAAAGATCGAACATTTTTGTCATGGAAGATCCGGACACCCCCCTGCCCCGACATCATAGATGTTATTTATATTTTTTTTTAATATGTAACTAGACAATGAGATTTCAACAGATAAATATAGCTGGTTGTAGATTAGATTTATTCCTGATACTTTTAATAAATCATCTGTATTGGAAATATCAGTACCTTTGTAGGAAATACTGCTTTTGTTCTCCACTACAAAATTCAGATCTTGAGTATTCCCTCACTTTAAGATTTTTTGTTAAAAGGCTGTCATATAATCAAAGGCTACTGCACTTAAGACATCTCAGTGTCCTTTGATCTCCATAATCAGCTTCTTCCTCCATAATATACGCTTTACTATAATAAGTAAATTGCAAGCTCTCAAGATCAGCCACAGAGAAGAAATAACTACTGATGGAATTAACAGAGAGCCTTACACAGAATAAACAGCAAGTTGGCCCACAGTCATCATGACACTGAGTTTCAGTTTACTGCACTGGCATAAGTGTTGTTCCAAATTTGTTCAGCAATGCTGTTTAATTGGGCTTAAAAAATAAAATGTTTTTTTGTAAATATGCTTCCCTTTAATATTAAGCCACAGACCATCTTTCACTGTGCTTCTTGCTCTTGTGAAAACATGTTGTCTTACATTGCCCTGCAGACTATTTAATAATCAGGCTTCTGTTAAAGGCAATAAATGTTTCTAAGCAACCACAACCCGCTTTAAATATGTTAGTCAATTAGCTCTAGACACCTTCTTCCAGAGTTTTTTTCTATTGTTTCTTTCTTACTTGAAACATAGAGAGACAAAGAGAAAGGAAATTTTAATATAATGTCTTGTACTAGTCAAGGTTGATGCCATTAAGTAGCGCCTCTTGCAGATAAACATAGCCATTGGATTGCCCCTGTCCAAAAGTACAGTGATGTGTGTGCTCATCAGTCCCTTATCAACATATAAGACAGAAAAAACAGAAATTTATCTAGGTAGTGTCAATATGGAAAATAAAAATAAAAAACAAGAGAGGTTTTGATGGTTGTGAGAAGAATATCTTCTCCCATTTTGTTCAATGTTTTCATACTGTGACTTTTTAATGCTTACTACTTTCCACAGAAAAACAAATAAAAAAGTCTCCCCATAAAATAAACCCAGTTGTTACATTATTTTTAAAGAGATGACTAAAGAATGATTTTTCTATTAAAAAGTTAAATACCAATTGAATTTTTGTCACAGAGGGATGTGTTAGGTATATTATTTCTGGTAATCTATCATTTTCATTTTCTCTCATGTTTATAAACCTAATTTTTTTCCTAGAGTCACAATAATCTTTCTTATTTGGTGTGGTCAGTTTTTCTTCTTATGTGTGACAGTTTCCCCATGGTATTACTTTATGTAGACATCTCAGTGAGGAATATCTGAGAAAAAAATACTGACATTTCATTAAGTCTCTTATAGAAGGGAACTTAGAATAGCTACCTCTGTTGAGGCTTGTACAAAACATAGGTTGTATTTGTTATGAATATCCAACACAATTTAACTAAGCAAGAATGAATCTTGCTGGAACTTGATACTTAACAGCAAGCCGTTTCTGATCTTGTGCTATTGCCATTGCCATTTTACACAAGGTTGAGAGTGACTTGAAGTAAAAAATTTCATCAAAACATGGAGGCTAGAAAGAGACTAAAGTATGTGTCTGGTAACTTATTTAACTCACTAGTAATATTTCTATATGTTACTCTCCAATTGATAGCATTTTGTATAAGCTGTACCATAAAAGTAAGAATGTCCAGAGGCCTTTGTAACAAATAGCTCCCCTGGGATACTGAGTGGCCAATAATGGAGATTATGGGAAAGATAAGAACAGCACAAATATGTAGTGATACTACCCTGGCCATGTATCCACAGAGTTGCATCTTAGGGACTTTCTGAAGCCGGAGGAGGCATCAGTGTGCTTACAGCTTTATGGGATTTTTTTCCCACATTTTTTTCTGTCTTTTCATTGAGTCTATGGAAAATTTTGAATCCCTGCTAGTTTTTTTCAATGAATTCTACATCTTCCCAATAAACTTTATTTATTTTCGACCTTGCACTTGCTACTTTCAGGTTTTGGGATATAGTTTTTATATTGGAAGAAAAAAATGAATGATTGCTCCCTGTTTTTTTTTATTTTTTACACACAAGACATGATTTTAAAAATCTCTGTCTGGTCTTTCCTCAGTTTACACCTGTTCTAGGTTGATGAATACTAGCTACATAGTCATTACTTAAAACTTATTATTTTGATCATCCTTTTCGTCCTGCTACTCATGTTGCCTGATGTTGCTATATTTACTTTTGAGAGGAACTATCTAACTCTGAATGGAAATTTACCACCTTCAAATTGTGAGTGCTTGTGATATTAGGACTGTTTTTCTCAGCGGGCACCACTTCATGTTTACTCCATGCTGAATTTAATCTGGTAATTTATTTTCCGTTCACTCGATCATCTTAGGATTCTTTTGTGTTTCTCCACGATGAATTCAGCAGTTTTACTTCTCTAAATGGCTTAATAACTCCAGAAAAATATGTGATATGGTTTTTCACCACCTTTTCCAGTTCTGCTATTAATGTGCTAAACGTAGTGGGTTAATGTATGAAACTTGAAGATTCCCCTTGAGTACAAAAATAATTTAGCTATGTGATCATTTTTGATATGATCAACACATGATCATATGTTCAACATAATGATCAACATGATCAACAACCCAAAATTTCCTACATATAATCATTCATGTATTATATAATATATATAATTTATTATAAATAACCAAACTCTTTATACTTATATAAAATAATCACAAATTTTCTGTGATGCTTTACTAGCCATAAAATATTTTCTCACTAGGGACTTATTTACTTCACAGCCAGGCTAATGAGTACCCTGCCTTCCATATCATAAAACACATAGGTGAGGTCATATGTGCCTAACTCTCATATTACCTTATACAAAGTAGATATAAAGAGTAGTAAGGGCTTGATGTGTCTTTTTCATACAGCTATAGCTTTTAGAATATTTTCTTAAAGGAATCAATGAACTACTTTCCAGTCTTGCTCTGCCTTTATTCACTGTATTATTCACTTTACAAAGGCTAGTGTGAGATATCACATGAAACAGAAAGACTAGGTTGTTACTGCTGTTACTCTTTCAATGCATACACTAAATTTCCATTTAATTTATAGCATACATTAGGAATCACACCATAGCAGTAAGATTTTCTTATGTTCCAAGACTGCAAAATCTGAGCTATGATCTCAGTCTTGCACCTTAGGGGATATATACAAGAGTTCATTACATGATCTACTGATCCAAGCATTATGCTCTGCTTCCTGACTAGAAGAACATCTTGGAATTTCAGAAAGAATACACTTTCCAAGGCATCCTAAATATCATCAAGTAGAAGAAAGTTTGTATCTTATAACACAAAACCCCAAAAGAATCACAGAATCGCAGAATGGTAGGGGTTGGAAGAGACCTTCGGAGATCATCTACTCCAGACCCCCTGCCAAAGCAGGTACACCTAGAGGCTGGACAGGAATGCATCCAGGTGGGTTTTGAATATCTCCAGAGAAGAAGACTCCACAGCCTCTCTGGGTAGTCTGTTCTGGTGCTCTGGCACCCTCAAAATGACTAAGTTTTTCCTCATGTTCAGACTTCCTGTGTTCCAGTTTGTGCCCATTACCCCTTGTCTTCATCACTGAGAAGAGCCTGACCCCATCCTCTTGACACCCACCCTTCACATATTTATAAGCATTGACAAGATTCCCTCTAAGTTTTCTCAAGGTTAAACAGATGCAGGTCTCTCAGCCTTTCAAACCAAAAGAAGCCATAGGCCTTTTAGAAAAAAAATAGCTAACATAGTAAAAATCTGTAACAATGAACACTTAGAGAGCAAGTGCATGTGAAATCTTACTTTGAATCCTTGTAGATTATGGCGCTGTCCACTGAATTTCTCACCTAAGGAAAACAGAAAGGGGCAAAATAAAACTTTGTGAGACATATAATACATGATTTCATCAGATAATTTAAATTAAATATTGTCATAAGCGAGATTCATTTTTACTTTCTGATTCTGAATCTAAGTGAAGGATACATCCTGTGTATTGAGTATTCAATCTCTAAGAGCAAAGATTTCTATACAGTTTAAAAGGACTTGTACTTTTTCTGTTTTCAATCTTATGAAACAGTAAATCCATGTAAAGCAAAAGACAAAAAAAAATTATCCTTCAAATTATGACTTATTTTTTCAGTGTGTAAAAATGGATATTAAGTGTCATAGTCTGTGGAAAGAGAAATATTATTTATAGACTTGATGCTTAGAAAATATCATGCACTATGCCCATTCTTTGCATGCAATCAGTAAGTATTTTCAAATTCAAATTGGGAAAACGTAACCATAAGAATAGATGTAGAATAAAGAACTTTTCCAATACTCAGCTAATATAGTAAAAAATCTTACAGAAACTTCCTCTGTGAGGTCTGGAGAAGCTCTGAAGCAGGGGTTACTCTTAAAAGATGCTGAACCTTTCTATTATGCAGATATATCTGCTTCCAAAGAGTCTAACAATTACAGAGGATTTATCAGGTTCAAGACATAGAGGCAGAATCTTCAGTTTAAATTTTTGTTTTGAACTGCAGTTGAAAGTTTGAAAATCAGTATCCTTTTGCTTATTTAATTGGAAGACATTTACATAGCTACTCTCCATAATTTGACAGAGAAACAGAGAAGGGACTTATGGGTGGTTTTGTAAACAACATAGACAAGGACTTATGCTGGTTAGAAACGTTTCCTTGATTATATTTTCCACAAAGAAGATCTACTCATCCTCAATTTTCACCAAAGTTATTAGTGTTTTCCTAGCCAAATCTTAAAAGAAGCTGAGTAGAGAGGGCAGCTGTTACTTTAGCGTTATGCTGTTGCTAGACACAGTTCTGGAGCAATCAAATTCTTTGATTGAACAACTCCTCCACTTCATACATTTTATAAAGAAACAAGCAGACAGTTACGTTTTTCCTTAGCAAACACCAATATATTTAAAATTCTAAAACTGAAGTCGCATTATTGAAACATGGTCAGTGAATGTTAAAAGCCTGTGCAGAGAACTGGAACTGGCATGCATTTACTGTTGTAGAAGGCCTCTGATACTTGTAGGTTTATGTCCAACAGGGGGCAATCAGATCTTCTTGCCTTCCCTGACTATTTTCACTCTCTCATCATACAGGAGTGGAGGATGGGCTGACTTTGGTATACCTTATCCTGCTGGATCTTGGGCTGGAAGCTTGCCCGTAGCTGGGAAACAATGGATACATCCTATGTGCACCATGCTGCCTTCTCCTACATTCTGCCCACATTGCTGGCCAAAGAAGAAGAATGAACAGAGGAGATATGGCTAAAACCATTTTTCATTCAGTTTATGGGACTGCAGCAACAAACACAAAAATGGAACGAAGATAATCAAGAGGAGCAAATCCAAGCATCTGTTCTCTGTGCAGCAGAGGCTCCAGGGCCCAAGAGCAGACACTGCAACCATCAACACATTTTTTGTTTTGTTTTGTTCTTTATAGTTTCATTTTTGATGAAAGCTACTGTGCCAGGCCAAGCTCAACAGAATAGCTTCACTGCTTGTTTGTTTTAATCTGGCCCTGGATCTAGCTCTGGTTCATATATCCTGAATAGAATCTGATTTTATGCCTCCACAGTACTTTTACTGTATTTTTGAAGACCTCTAAGGGAACTATATTCTGAACTGATATTAACAATTTATTATGATATATTCTCCAGTTCTCTTATACTTCTTTTTTTGATGAAATGGCATTAGAGGTGCATGAAATCCTTAAAGAAAGAACATGTAAAATTTGCTCTTCACATAAATATTTTATTGATGCTTGACAGAAAAAAAAACCAACAAAACTCTCTCAGCAATGGTAAAATGGTAAATTCATACAAAAAGGAAGAGTCAAAAAGTTATCAACTTATCTGAGTAAATTTTTTTTTGTGTATTGCCTGCTCAGGAAGCATGTTAACATGGCTCTTGATTTCAGTGCAGTTTCCATCCTCTCGCCGCATGCTTCTAGATGCTTTAGTGAAATATGTAATAAATAGTAGCTCCCATTTAAAGACAAAAAAAAGTGCTTTTTACTACTCTAGCTGCTCCTTTCATCAGTAAGTTCACTAAAAGAGAGAATAGCGTCAACCCCCAATATATCCCCCACCCCTTCACCTGAAGGGAAGATTTTGAAAATGCTTAGGTGAATAAGTAACTTTTCACATGTGAATAGTCTAAGTGAAGCTCTACATAGAGGGTAAGAGACATAAATTATACATGGTTTAGCTCCTTCAGTAAGCATTCAATACAAGTGACCAACTGAATGTCAAATATATTGAGCGAAGGAATCTCATAGAGCTCTAAGGCAATTTAGGACATGTATTTCCAAAAACATAAAAATAAATAATACAAGTGCATATAAAAAAGTAGTTCAGCGGAAAGGCATATTTTTAGAAAAGTAAATTAAATATGCTGCCATTGCATAAATAAAATATCTCATGGGCAAACACACGGTAGAGCCTTTATTGTACTTGAGAGCTAAAATATAATTAAGATAAATGAAGAATTCTGTCTCTGTTCCTGGAGAATTTTCTGTTCCTCTCATCAGAATAGTTTCAAAGCACCAGTTTAACTCTTCTTGGAGACCTCTACTGATGAAGAGGTTCAGTTAGAATTTGCCCTTTGGATGTTTACTTCATACGAAGTACTTCCAGTAAAAATTATGTAATGTGTTCTCTTCATTCATCAGTCTTTGCTCTCTCTTAATCTCATATGTCAATATTTTCCTCACTCTTTCTAGTCGTGGCAGTTACTATTTAAAAAATATTAATTGGCTTTGGAGCATCTCAGTCTTTTTATTCTTTACTTTTCTCCCACTCTTGGTAAAATAACCTTTCCTTTTTCATTTCAGCTTCTTTCTTTGTCTTTTCCTCTTTAGCAGGTCTTCTAACACACTTTTTTCTTTCAGGCTTTCACTGGCAATCTCGTATATAAAAGCTGATACTCCACAATTTTCCAATAATCTTTATTATTTTTATTATATCTGTTATTGAAAAAGCCTAAATATGCAACTTCTCTTCAAGCAATAATTTACTCAAAAGCACTGCACCAACTTCTGCTGTAGTAGTTTAGTACTAGTACTGGTTGTAGCAGTTACAACTCAGCTGATTTCAATGGTATTGCACCTTACATGTTGGTCCATTTATTTTCAGTAAAATATGTCCTCTAAGTCAAAAATAAGGACTGTAGGATCATATTTTTACTTTTCATAATACATATTAATAATGGAGTCAAGCAACTGACTTTTTTATATTTCTGCAGAACAAACATTTTACTTAATGCAAATTCACCATTACACTGAGGGCCAGTACAAGATAAATGCACCACACATTTAGAACACAGTTTTTCTTGACAATTCAGAAATGTTATGAAACATTTATGCACACTTAACTCTATACACATCAGCAAGCCTACTAAAATGGAAAAGAGCTCCTTACTCATGCAAAAATAAGCAGATGCTTAAGTGTTTTCAGGAACAAGTTTTAATTTCTCTCCATGTGTATTGGACAGGTCCTCTGCACGGGGATGAACTTCAGTCAGTAAAATGATTAACAACAGCAACACACACTGCAGGATACACTCCAGAAAAATTAGTTTAACTCATGTTAACTGCAGTTTGATCAGTGACATGCAAACCCTTAAATTTCATTTGGTATATTGCATTATATAACAATGTCTGCAACTATTTTACAGTAACCAGTTGTTTTCTGACTTGTGTAGAACGTGGCAAGACTTTTCCACTCAATGAAAGGTTATTATTTTGGTTCATTTCCTGAAAAATTTTATTGTTTCCCATTTAAAAATATGATTCCAGTCATCTGTAAGTTTTATATACTTCTGCATCTTCTTGTTGGGCTACTTTTTCTGACTAATTTCCAGTGTGATGATCCTCCCCAAATCTAGCTATAATCAAGAGAAATCTCTGAACTATTTTTGAATCTCTTAATTTGGGAAATTATTTGTAACTGCAGATACATACATGAATAAATATCTGTGCCCTGGTTTAATATTCTATCTTGACATCACCATATTCATGATAGCAGCATTTTAATCTTTCATCTTTCTTTGCAAACTCATTAGCTTCTTTTTAAAATCTGAGTTGCAATATTCAGCATTTTATCTCGTGGTAGAGATATTATAGGATTGGTTCAAAAATTTTCTGAATGCAATGGATAAATTTCCCTAGGCCTTCAGAGGGCATTTGAGTCAGGCCTTTAATTAACACCAGAAATTAATTTTAAAACAGTTTTCTATTTCACAGCCATGCCAGAAATATCTGTCCTAATAGCAGTTTTCTAGTTATTCATTATTAAAGCCTAACACATTGTACCTGTTTTCCCCAAAGTGATAAACCAATCACTCATCCAATATAATCCAATATAAATATCCAGATAAATTAATCAAAATAAACTTTTAATGTGGCCATCTCACTTATTTCTGTATGTGGAACTAGAGCACTTCTGCCATTTTGTAGCACTTGCAGCTTTATTATTTCTTTTGATAAACTAGCATTTATTTGTGTCTTAACCTGCCTTTATATCCAGAGAAGGGATTACATTATATCCTTTGCTTGATTCTCATTAAAAAGTTGATCTACAAAATTTTTAATTTTGGTAGTCTGAAGCTAAACTAAATGTGAAGTCCTTACAGAAAGAACAGAGGAAGTAGCAGGTTATATGACAGTAAGATGTCGTTAAACTCTGAGTTCTGCTTGTTCGTGAGAAATTGCTGAGGTCAGATTTCACCATATATTGACGGATTCTTCTGATTACCTAAAGATTGTGTGCATCTGTGCGTAATTACATGGGTTGATATGCAAGGTATACCTGTTGTTTCATCAGAAACAACATT